TAGTGTATCATAATTCATTTATGCTTCTTTGAGTTTTCGATAGACTTATCTCCTGGGCGACATATGCTCACAAGGCACAAAGTCTATAGACCGGCAATTGATTTCTTGCTTCAAATTACAATGACCCGACTGTATATCATATTCGAACACTTCCACAGTACTCACCTCACCTTTTTCTGTTCCCCTTTAATGAATTTTGGTGACTTTAATGCCCCCCCCCTCTGTAAAGCTCAAAGTCAACTAAAGGGCTAATCATAGTTATCATAAAGCCTGCCATTGGATATTAATCAATAGTTATTTATTTATTTATTTCAAATGGCAGGCGTTTTGATAGCTATCATTAGCCATTTAGCTGACTTCAGGCTTCACATAGGGAAGGTTTATCAAAGTAGAAGAAAGTCGAGGAGTGGGGTACAGAAGAGCGATACATAGATGTAAAAGAGGCAGACAGTCACAAAGGTAAAGAAAAAGGTAAGATGTGTACTGTGAAATCAATAGTTAATGTATGCTACATTCATATTGAAAATGCAAGAGATGAAGGCTATTTATAACTGTAAATGAATAGAATTTTAGTTAATTAAAATTTCTTCTTTACAAAGTATGATCTTCAAAACTACAAACGACCCACTAACTCGAAAAAAGTGGGGTATCACAAATAGGGATATTATAAATGTCATTTTTCAGTGGAGAAACATTTGTATGTTCGATTTCCTTTATTGAAATAACAGTAATACAAATCATAAGACAACACGAAAAAATGTTCACCGATTTTCACTGATTTTCATCTCATCTTCTAAAATAAATATAAAATGCATCGCAAATACTTCAATCGAGCTACATAAAAAAGTTTTTATTTAAAGCAAACTTTAGGCAAATTATTTGGAAATCAGCATGAGCTTACGCAAGAAAAGTAGATTTCGACCATTACTAAGAGGAAGAATTTGGGGTAAATGGACCTCATTTAATAACTTCTTTTCCACTTCTGGAAGCTTATTACTGTAGACTGGACCCTCGAGACCATTTGGTCGCCACAGATAACTTTCATAGATATTGAGGAACTCCTCACTGCTATTTTCATTCTTCAGGGGTAAAGATGATTCCGAAATCTTGCGACATGTCGCCTCCCTTGCCTCTAGAAAACGACGGTATTCTGAAACATGTTCCATGACTGGACGCCGTTCTGAGATCTTATTATCGGCCCCACTATGATTTTCTCTAAGTTGTTGATGAACTTGAAAGAGAAAATGACTGGGCAGTATCAGATTCTCGTCATATAAGCGAAATCTGAAAAGAAAAATGAATTAATATGAAAAATGTTAAACGTTTTCAAAAATTCCCTCACTCATAATAAAGAAAACCGATAACTTGGAACAAGGTATTTTGAACTTAAAGCATATCTGTGGGGCACGTTATCGCTTTGTGCGTCATCGTATGCCTGCATGTCTGCTCGCCAGGATTGGGAGGTGCGACCGTACAACTCTGTGTGCAAACAGTGACCAATCATCAACCTCTGTTTGTTTAACCTAATCCCCCATCCTGATCATGAGTAGCTCCCTGCGTATACACACTTGATCCGCAATATACGTCCTGAATAAACGTGCTCCGTGCTACACGTCTGTTTCCTTTATAGCTGGGCTATAGCTTAACTGGTTCTGGGAGACTAGCTAGATGTAGGAGGATCTGCCATAGAGATTTCTGAGTCGGTCAGGCTTTACTAAGGTAGCAATCCACTACAAGTTTAGTTTGGGGTACCAGTTCCTCCAAAATAATCCCAAGCAGGAAATTGGGGTGGGAAGGGGGGAAGGTCATCCAGTAGTGGCGTTTTACAGGACTTGAACAAAATGCCACTTTGTCTTCATACAAAGTTTGTGTGGTATGAATGATGAGTATTAAAATCTTTTCCCATTGCAAAAAAGGGAAAGTCACGTACGCGGAAATGATCTATGAATTGCTATTATTT